TGCTGAGAACTTGCTGAGTCTCTCAGAGTCAGCAATTTGGTCTGTTCTTGGTTCAGATTACAGAATTTCTGCCTCACTGTGATCAGACTGGGACACAAGGAACTGCATCTCCTTTTCCCAGCAGAACAATGGCAGGGGACGGAGGGGTAGAAAATTTGTCTGTTCAGGCACACTATCCCCTCACTCCTGATACTGAGAATGAAAAAAATATATTATTGAATTTACTGTTCTAAAGAAAGAACACTCCAATGTAAAGGACTGAAAATAAAATGACAATCTGAAACACCCCACTGTGTTCTAATACTGAAGCTCTTGACCTCAATTACATCTTCTAGGTTCATTCAACTCCTTACTGACAAGTTGGAAATAAAGAACAGAAAAAAACCCAGGATTTTAGCCTACTGTCAAGAAGAGAATAAGAAGCAAAATGACTGTTTTACAGCTATTGTTACAATTCCTACAGCAAGCAGTTTTGTATCCCTCCTTAGAAATTGTTCATTGAAAGTCCCACAGATGCTTTAGAGGAATTGCATTTTGACTTAAAAGTTGATGAATAAAGGTTAGCTAAAGATGCACTAGTGAGAAGTACTGAGTAAAGCTTGTTCTTTGCTAGAAATTACTGGTTTTATGTAAGTTATTAATTTAATAGATAGAAATTCCTTAAAACTCACCCTAAAGTTCTTAGGAAATTAAACTAGCACTAGTACAAGAAACAGGACAGAAAGAAGAAACCCAGGTTTTTCTGCATGCTCTGCCTATTTTCTATCCCTTGAGCGATTCTGAGGACATGTTTACATAGAACCTTACATATCTTTATGGCCGTTACTTGGTTGCATAACACAGCACTGTTGGAACATTGGCTAAAGCTTCCTCAGATGAAGAAAAGGCAGATAGTTTTATAGCTACTGCACAAAAAAAAAAGCTAGAGAAAGCTTTGATGCCTGCCTGGAATAACACAAAACCATTTGTAAATAAAATCCTATTAGAAACATCAGATCCTGGGGATTACTCATAATTGCTTAGCAGTTTTATTGAAATACAAGCCAGTACAAAGTTCAATCAAAATTCTATTTACGAATGTCACCTATACTTAGATTTAAATGCAGGAAATAACACAAAACCTGTCAGGAGAGCAAGAAACTGTCTTTTTTCAATGTTGTTAACATTCTTTGGCAAGTGACACATTAAACTTTTCCTGTACTAAGTATCTCTGCCTTCATTCTCTCCTTACCAAATGCTCTCCCTTTAATAAGCTGAAACACAGGAATGAAGTTAAGAAGACATTCAAAGCACTATCCCTCTTTTCTTTCCAGCCTCCAAGCTATTCTGTGACCCCTAACTGTTCATCTCCTTGTATTTTAGTGTATTGATTTGTATGGAATTATTCCAAATACTTTTAAATACTTACAGTAGAAAACAATGTGTGAAAATTGAAACGTTAATTATGAACTTTCTTTTCGAAACATGGGCATGTGTTTCCGTTACGTAAGAGTTACATTCTTTCCATGTAGTTGCACATGGATACACCAACACTCCCAGACACCCCAATTTTAGCCCCAAGGTTTTGCCATCTCTTAGCTTTCTAATTAGTCCATATTATATAGATCATATATATGAAGCACATACCCATTTGTTATACTGAGGAATTCCTTAGTCAAAAACAATATTCTTCATCTTTGGCTCTCTTACCTCTACCTTCTGAGAGATCTCTCAGATTTCTAAGAGGGTCCAAATAGCTCATTTGACATTGGCCAATCCATGGATATAGGTCAAACACATCAGTAAACTGCATACAGCACACTGTAAGACCTGCCACAGCATATTATTTTCTTTTTGGCATGCAAATATGTGCCTACACTTCAAAAGGAAAACGCACTGGAGAAAATAACTATCACCAGTATAGGCACTACCCACGTCCTTCATATATAAGTGGTTTAAATGTAAAACAAAAAGCAGGAAAAAAAACTTTAGAGCCACTTATATTAGCATTTTCTGCATTAAAAAAAAAAGCAGGGGGGAAAACTCCAACTTGTAAGTCTGGTGGTTCCTACCACAATAATGTTAGATTTTTACAACCAGTTTGTGTAAGGACTTTCTCATTTGAAAAATTTTCCTGTTACTATCACTCATTCTCTTAGTTCATCAATAGTACTGGAGCTATTCCAAAGATTCTTTCTTACTTAAGGTAAACAAAGATGTCAGAAGCAAGTTCATAGATAAAACCATATGAAATGAGAAAAAAGTCATGAAGGATTAAGTGGAGAGAGACACATAAAAGAATCAAACAGCATGGAAGATAACAAAAATATCTGTGGCTTTCTGAAAACAACACATCAGATGCAAAGTGTCTCAATGGGAACTTCAGTAGTGCATGAATACCTAGAGTAAAAGCAAATACTTTGGCTGACTGTTTTGAAGTTTATTACAAATCAGATTGAGTGTGGCTACTGATTCTAACCCCAGAGCACTATACAGAAGATGCTTGAAAAAAAAAATCAGTGCCTTAGATTCTGATATATTACTATTTTTTTAATTTATAATTTGCATGCATTTAAATGTCATATGCATAATATATTAATATTTTTAACTGTGTTGTGGTTTAGTGGCATATTTTTAATACCTTCTTAGCAAACAGGTAAATACATAACACATACCTCAAAGCTGACAGGTATATTTCGCTTCAAAGCAATTTCAAATACTACACTGATCTCAGACTTGTTTGCATCTTTGTCTTCTTCTGACTCTTTTCCTGTTTCTCCATTCTGAAAATGAAGAACATAATCATATTACAATTTTTAGGAGACAAGAAAACATAATACACTTCTCCCACAGTTTCTCAAAGACTTTTGATTTCTCCTGTCATGCTGTGAATCAGTTTGTACACCCACCTAGGCACTCCATTATCAGACACTCACTGACTATGAAGCAATATACAACGAACTTATGCTTCATAATAAAGGAACACATACATATTACTGTAGAAATTAATGATAGGAGGCAAAATAACTTCTATGGATTTCAATCTTACTAATGACATGGAAAATAATCATCTGGATACACCGTTCTTGTGTCAAACATGGGGATCAAACAGATTGTTTGGCCTGTTTCTCAGTGTCTCAGTGGGTACCCCTTCCAAGCAAGGAAGACCTTTTCTGTACTTGGAAAGTACAGAGTACTGTACTTTTCTCAGAAGAAATTCAGTGAATCATACCCACACTTTGACTAGGTCACCAGGTTACAGGTGTCCTCAGCAGGTCCAGCTGGTTAATGACCCCTCCATCAACTTCCCTCTGGGAGTTATGACCAGTGTGAAAAGGTAGTGACAGAGAACAGCTTGCTCAACACAGAACATTATTTATTTATCCATAGGAACCTAACAAACAGAGAAGCTACAAGATAAAACAAAAGGCACATGCAAACATTATCCTGCCTATAATTCAGCTTTGCTTTGCACTTTAGATAAGTTTTATTTTTCTCCGACAACCACCAGCATGGGGATCAATCAAAGAGTTATCGCCTTCTTGCAACCATTGCCTTTTGGTGTTTGTCCCCCAGGCCACATTGTCCTTAGTTCTCAGAGGTCTCACTTTCAGCTTCTTTCAAACTGCAAAGCCCTGAATGTTTCAAACTGGGATCTGTCAACAACCATGTAACCTTGGCCAGGCTCCTAATTTTTTTATTAGTGGAGGTAAACTTCAAAGAAACTTGGGCTGAATTAGGTGGATTCCTGCAGTGTTCCCATCTTGCATAACAAAGTCTGATCTAAATCTTCAGCCATCAGCATAACTACAAAATCCAGATACTGAAGTTATAAAATAACATTTAAAAAGCCTTAGGTTCTTCACATTAATGATTAAATTTATCAATCTTCTATCTACCATTTGTTAACTCTTAATATATTAATCTTTAAGATAATACAGGACCAAAAATGCAGCAGTCAGATACAGCATGCAGACTAGGAGCACTTTTTGTCTCAAAAAATGGTTGCAAAACTTTGAGTCTGAAAAAGCAATTTACAGCCCTGACATTGATCTGGAGCTAAATACAAACCAGAAATGTATAAAGTTTATAGAACCTGCTGAAAAAAAAAAAGTATGCAGTGCAAATCAGTAACAAGGGTAGTTAGAATGAAATTCTGTAGGACCTCTAGCTTATTTCTTATAATGAAAAGTAAATTCCCACTGAAATCAAGAATGTAGGTAATTATTTACAGGACAGACAAAGCATTGATTAGGTTCGATGAGAAAGATCAACTGAACAGAGTTCAAAGGGCAATATTTAAAAGTAAAAACATTTTAGGGATACCAAACATAGCATGGGGTACTACTATTCCATAAAAAACCTTAGTGAGAATGTTGCTCAATATTGTATTCAATTAAGTTTGTGTTTTATAAAGGACACTGATAATCTGAAAAGCTAACAAAAAGAAATACCCACAAGAATGAACTGATTAGAAAAAACAGTTTTACACTGAGACACTATGGAAACAATCAGTTCTATGAAAAGATTTATAATTACTTAAGCATAATCTGTAAATGTATATGGAGAAGAGATTTTTTTATCTTTGTTACATTCAGCAAAGATAAGAAAATACCAATTAGATAGAAAATGAAGCTAAGCTAATTTAGAAGAAATAGCTTGCAAATTATCTTTGAAATGGGGAATAATCAATCACTGGCATAATTTACACAAAATAACATAAAGACCATTGGACTGTCATCAAGCCTTTAAGTCAAGAACTTTTAGGTTTTCTGGCTATACTCTAGCTTAATCAGATATGTAGAGTCTAATGTTGAAATTATTGTTTCAAATTTCATGATTAATACAAACACAGCAGTCCAGAAATCCCTGATTGTCCCTTCTGCCCTTACAATTTCACTCCTTGTGCATTTTTTCAACAAACACAGTAAAAAACCTAACTATGAGTGGAGGATCACAGACTTCAAGACTTAGACCTTAGCACTGAGCAATGAAGTTTCAGATGTCAGTCATACGACCTCCCTATGGAAGATAAAACATGTTCAGGAGTGTCTCAAGTACTTCGGATTTAAATTTGATCCTCATTCCCCAGCTGACACTTTAATCGTAAGGCTGTTCTTAGCCTCATGTCTACAATACAGCAGAGGTGCTCTGGCAGGCACACAATAGCTCTTTCATGAAAGCAGGTTCACGTTCACCTGTAACACTGCCCTGTTCACTGATTGCTTCTTGTTTCTGCTCACTTTATGGTCTTCTACACATTTGTGCAATGAAGAATTTAGATGACAATATTCCTCCTCAATGGTTTAATATGGATTTTTAACTAAGTTAAAAAAAAAAGGAAAAAAAAGGTATCTCAAAATGAAATAATATACAGAAGCCTGCATTAAGCAAATATGGCTGTGAAGGGTCAAGAGGTAAAACCATGTCTTTACTGTGCTATATTCCATGGATCCCCCTCCAGTGAAGTTCACTGAGTTACTAATGGGATGCAGGGCTAGATCTGTACCAGCAGGTCTGTCCTCGCTCCCCTCTATGCACTCATTGGAAGACCAGTGGCAGTGACTGGGAGAGAAAAGTTCAATCGCTCATGTAATTGAGGCCAGAAAGCCTTTAATGCATACTGGCTCTGATCCACACATGACGTCTGAGGAATGGTGAATCAATCATCTTCCATGGCAGACCCAAGCAGGTTAGGCCTGCTGAAGAAAACAGAGATTTACTGAGCTAGAGCATGTTCCACGGTGAGGGCACATCCCACCACTGAGTAGCAGCCTTGTGTGCGCTTCACATGACCAGCAGCAGGGAGAAGCATGAACCTTGGTACTATGAACCCTTTAAACTCTGCTTCAACAAACCTCCAGTTCTCTGGAGAGCTACACTCAGCTCCACTGAGTGCAAATGCAGCATTTTGTGCTCCATCATGACCAAGGCATAGTGTCACTTCCAGCTTTCTCCAGCCACCTACAGCTCTAACCCAGGAAGTAAGAGATGTTTCTCCATGCCTAGCCCACAACCAGCTCATTTACCCTCAGTATGACCAGATAAGTCACAGACATATTCCTGACTGAGGACTTGATTTTTGTCTCCTACCCAGAGACACCTGCTATTGAGGTACTACAGTATCCCAAGTGGTCTTCAACTGCTGCACCAGAATCTCACAGTGCTCCCACAGGTCTTGTGAGTGCTATGTGAATGTCTCAGCTAATCTACAATATTGTCTTCCCTATTTTTCTCATAGCTAACTGTGGATTTGATTCAGTCTACATATTTAAGTTATAGGGATGAAGTGAATAATGAAGTTATTTCATTAGCTCATGAGAAAGACAACGCTACAGCATGCTACAAGAGTTTAGGAAACTCAATCTGCGATGACTACATCTTCTCAAAACCTGTGCACCCTGATGAATTCTGATGTAAATAGATACTAAATAGACCCAAGTATGCAAGAATGTTCATTAAAGTTTTTATAACTTTTGCTAGGTACATTACATATGTATATGGGCTATGAAAACTCAGTATATAAACCAGGTACATATCCATGTTAGTTATATATATTACTTACTTCTGACTACTACTTACTATCCTATGCACTTAGTGGTTTAACTTCCATTCTGATTGCTGGATATCTTGCATTCAAAGATTCTTTTGGTAAAATAGAATGTTAAACATATAATTTTCAAAAACTAAGAATATGCTGAGCTAAAAATATGTTTCAGTAATATGAAATTCCCGTTCAGGTTCATGCTAAGGATTCATTATCAACCAGTACTTTTGTCTGGAAACCAAAATAAAAAGGAAGTGAATTAACAATGAGAAAGGAAACGGGGATTCCTCCTAAGACCTTACATGTTCTTTATTTTCCTTAAAAAAAAATAAATCAGTACTAATTACAGTAAGTGATTTTGAAGATAATTTCCTGATCCAGAAAAATAATACAGCAAAACAAAAGGGTGAGTCAAACTCTCTTTGAATCAAAAGGAGGATGTGGATGAAGGGTGAGGCAGAAGGAACAAAGATTTTTTTAAAATACAGAAAAATATTACCATTCTTAAAAAGCAGCTCAAAATTACCACACAAGACACTGAAGGTAATACTAGTAATGTTTTGTACTGTGCAGAGGAGTTCAACAATCGTCATCAGACAGAGTGTACAAAATAAAAAGATTGTCTCCTCATGCATTTATTTTGGCTTACTTCACTGGGCAGTTTTATTACATTTGTCCTTTCAATTTACAAAGATTATTCTGAGAACATTTTTTCTGTTAAATATCTTTTTAAATATAACACAATGTTTTCATTTTTAAGTAGCAATAGACATCATTTGCAAACACAGCAGTGAGAAAGCTAGCTATTTTAAAATGTACTAAGTGGTTAAAAGCCTAAAACCATCAGACAGATGATAACTGGGGACAAGTCATTTCAACTGTAAAGATCACATTCATGGCACAACACACATTTAAGATTAATTATTCATTCACCATGAAGCCACTGATTAAATGAACATTTTTTCCACTTCTGGTATAATCTCAAAAAAATTTTACTTTACTTTTTTACATTATCACTGTTGACAGTCCCATTTTTAAAACACCTACTTATTCTTGTTATTTAAGTCTAGTTCCATGTTAAGTGTGCTGTTATGAAAAAACAGCACTAACAGTTTGTTAGTATTACTTTTCTAATTACTGAAGCTAATATGAAAAAACTATTAAACTAAACATTGAAAAACTAGCAATTAAGTTGTTTGATTTGGTATCGTAACATGAAGATTAAGAACAGTTTTCTGAAACACAAACCTGAGGTAATTTTTCTGGAATAGGCTCATTCTGGAGAGCCTGAAGGGCCTTCATTGCAGCATTATGTCTAGCAGCTTGACGAGTCTTTCCTTCACCAAAAAACTCACTGTTGCCAACAGTTAACTGCACATAGAAAATTTTAGGCACTGGGCAGTGATACCTAGAAAGAAGTCATGAAAAGAAAACAGCAATATAGGTTACAAATTTTAACTATCAATTCTATGTAATATAGAGCAGTAGTTAGGGATAAAACATTATCTTTTCTCACAAAGAAAGACCCAACACTCAAATACATGGGCTGTTCCTCAGCAAGGCCATCAGTAACTTTGACAGCAGCTCCTATGCACAAGCCAGCTCTTCACCCATATTTGCAGGGCTCTGCAACGAGCTCTGCTACACCTCAGGCCAACAGCCCAGCTCTGCACTCTTCTTGGTTTAATCTTGAGAAGATTAAACCCAAGGAGAACTGAAATCTCCAGCAGAAGCCATGCCTGGGAGCCAACTCCTGTTCCATGGGACCAAGGCAGATTGTGAAGTCTCTCATTTGAAACAAGCCAGCATAGCTCAGCTCTTGGGGACCACAAAAAGTCAGATGGCAGAAAGTGAGGGATCTGGACAATGTACTTCCTCCCTTCTTTTAAAGCTGAAGTATTGAAATAGTTGTAGAGGATAACAAGGACTTCTCTCCCAAAGCACAACAGAGGGTAGGGAGAGGCTCCTCTCCAACACTGAAATAGTCAAACATTTTCTGGGCACTGAAAGAAAAGAAGCAATCACCACCACATTGTTTCACATTGTTTTTCTTTTTTTTTTTTTGTTCCTATACAAAAATTTCCAAATATAATGGCAGAGTTTGTTTTTCTGAATATGTCTGAAAGACATGGAAAGAAAGATAAAGCAAAAAATTGAATGTTTTCCTATGAACTAACACAGCTGTTATTCCTCAAAGAAAGCAGTATCTTTATTCATATCATCAACTCCACATCGCTATTTTCAGTAATAAAAATAGCTAACCCAACCCATACTCCCTACCCTGAAACCTCTCACTAGCTGCAAATGAAGAAAGAGATGTAAGGCCGTTCTCGGGTTTGGGAGGTCCTGTCACAGCACTGTGACAACTACAAACACAAGCAAAAAAAAACAAAGCCTGTCTACATAAGCAATTTCTACAGAAAAGACATATTGCTCCCTACCCCCCCACACCCCACAGCCTGACTTGGGAAAAGCAATTCAGCACAGATTATTAGATCTAGTCATTGTTAAAGTTATAGTCTTTTAAGAGAATATTTCCAAAAAGTCCTCTAATTATAGTCTACATAGGTGAGGGAATTTGCTTCATACTCTTCACTCTGCAGCCTAGTCTGCCTGTGCTCCTTCCTCAAACAAAGGCTTTTCTAACACATTGGAGATTTAGTCCTGGGAAAAAACATATTCCTATCAGAAATGGTTTCTCACTTATGACAAATATCTTGTACACATTTTATGGCAATGTAGAAAAGCTCAGGATCACAAAAGCATGGGCAAAACCTAGGTCTGTCACAACAAAATGAGAATCGCTCAAAAGCACAGCAAAGTACTATATTTTCCTTCTTCCTCTTAAAGGACACTTATTAAAGCATGCTCTCTCCATTTTCATCTGTTGACACAAGTGGAGATTTTTTTTTTGTATGAAGACTTTCTGATTTTTCATTAATAATTCTAACAAATTTGTTTCAAATGTAAAACAAAATAAAAAGTTTTTCAGATAGCAGCACACTTCAAACCCAAACTAGTGTGACCAAGCACTCCAGCCTCACTGTCCAGGAACTTTGTGTCTAATTCTAAAAGTACGTTTATATGGAAAGAGTAAAACCATAATACTGGCTCCAACAAGCCTCCAGCTATAGGGCCTTGGAGGCACAAGTTAAGTTGCCTTTACAACATGCAAAAAGTGGGTATTTACTTTGCTTTCCTGTTTACAGTTTAACACAGTTCTAGGGAATTATTAAGGCCTAGAAATGCATTTGCTTACGTAACATTTTCATAAAATTATAGAATAACTCACGTTGGAAAGGCTCCTGGAGCTTATCTGGTCCAATGCAGTGCCCAAAGCAGGGTCAAGCTCTGAACTGACGCTGTCTTGTCCAGGCATTGCCCAGGCTACTGTGGATATCTCTAAGGTTGAAGATTCCACAACATTTCTGGGCAACCCATCCCAGTGTTTTGACCACTCTTTCTGGAAGAAAAGCTCCTACATGCATAATGCAACCTTAACACCATGGTGCCATTTGTTAACAAAGCAGCTGTCAAACCAAAGAAGCAGTTCAAGAATCTTAATTTCTATCCCTCTCCACCATGTCCTTTACTGCTTCTGACATACAGCATTCACCTTCTGCCTCCCTTTGCTTCTACAAGGTACAAACACAAGACACTATCAATGTGACAAAAACTTCAAAAAGAAAGTACAGTGGCTTCAGACTGAGATTTACTTCAAAAAGAATGGTAATTTTTCAAATGAAAGGGAGAATTTCACCCCTTCCCTTCACTTAATGAGTTTACCTAAAATGCTTCCTATATCAACATTTTCCTTTGGTTTATTAGTTTTATTTGGTTTGCAATATTGGTTTAGGGAATATTAAAAATAATTTAGGGAATATACAGGCAATACATGTAAATAATACCTTGAAAGAATTTAAATCTAAGAATCAGGAGCAGGCCTTTGACATTGCACATAGGTCAAACTATATTTCCAAAGTGAAAAATGTTACACTTAATTAAAATCAAGGGAAAAATAATGAAAAGCTTCATCAGTACAGTCACCATGAACTCCACTTCTTACACAGATAGCTTAAAGCTGTCTGGCCCTGGCTCCTCTACACCGCTAATGTGATTCCTCTCAAAGTCTTTCCTCTGTTTACCACAGAAACACAAAATAGTTGAGGTGGGAAGTGACCTCTGGAGATCTCATTGTCCAACTTCCCTGTTCGAAGCAGGACAGCTAGAGCAGACTGCTCAGTGTCCGTTCCCATTAGGTTTTGAGTATTTCCAAGGGTGGTTGATTCAACAATCTGTCTGGTAATCTGCTCTGATGCTTGACTACCTGCACAGTAAAAGTCTTTTCTTTTCTTATGATTAAATGGAATTTCTTGTATTCCAGTTTGTGCTACATTTTCACTGGATACCACTAAAGATCCTGGCTCCATCTTCTTAACTCATCCTCTTCATGTAGTTTATACACTTTGATAAGATCCCTCTGAGCCATCTCTGCTCCCAACTAACCACTCCCAGCTCTCTCACTCCTCAGATGAGAGGTGCTCCAGTCCCTTAATCACCTTAGTGGGCTTTTGTCAAATTTCCACTGGTATGTCCATGTCTGTTGTACTGAAGAGCCCAGAACTGGATTCATCACTCCAGACCTAGCCCCTCATGAGGGCTGAGTAGAGGGGAAGGATGATCTCCCTCAATCTGCTGACAACATGCATCTAAATGCACCACCCATCTAAACGGATGTGTTTGTTGCAAGGGCACATTATTAGCTCCTGTTTAACTTGGTGTCCACTAGGAGCCTCAGGTCCTTTTCCAAAAAGCTGTTTTCCAGCAAGCTGACCTTCATTGTGCAGTGATGTATGGGGTTACTCCTACCCAGGTGCAGGGATTTGCATTTCCCTTTGTTGAACTTCAAGAAGATACTGTCCACCCAATTCTCCTGCCTGCTGAGGTCCATCTGGACAGTAGAAGAACCCTCTGATACATCAGCTACTCCTCCCAGTTTTGTATTATCTGCAAACTTGCTGAGACTACACTCTGCCACATCATCCAGATCATTAATTAAGGTATTAAAAAGCACTGGCACCATTACTGATCACAGCTGCACTGTGACCACTTTGTGTCACTGATAAGAACCCCTTGAGCCTGGCAGTTCAGTCAGTTTTCAAATAGTCTCACTGTTCATTTATCTAGGCCATACTTCATGAGTTTGTCAATGTGGATGTTGAAAGAAGCAGTGCCAGAAGCCTTAATAAATTCCATATAAACAACATCCACTCCTCTCATCCACCAAGGTAGCAACCTCACTGTATAAGGCTATCAGATTGGTCAGGCACAATCTTACCTTCTTAAATCCATGCTGACTACTTATAGTCACCTGTCATTCTTAAAATGCTCAGAAACGGTTTTCAAGATTATTCCCTCCATCATCTCCTCAAGGATTGAAGTAAAGCTGACTGACTTATTTTCCCAGATCCTGCTTATTGTCCTTCATAAAAATAGGAGTGAAATTTGTTTTTTTCCAGTCCTCGGAAACCTCCCCAATCATAATAATTGTTTAAAGATAATCAAGAATGGCATCACTATGATATCATTTAGCTCCCTCAGAACTCATGGGTGCATCCCATCAGGCTTCATGTACCTATCTTATCTGTTTAAATGTTCCCCAATCTGATCCTCCTCCACTGAGGGTAAGTCTTACCTGCTCTAGACTTGCCCACTAATCTCAGGGACTTCTGAATGCCAGTCTTACCATTAAAGATTGAGACAAAGGCATTTTGAGTGCCTCCATATTTTCTACATCTTTGCATCAGGTCCCCTGGTCCATTCAACAATGGGTCCCTCATCTTCCTTTTGCTGCTGTAGAAGCCCATCTTGCTGCCCTTCATATCCCCTTCCATATTCAACATCAGATGGACTTCAGTCTTCCTAACCCCATACCTGCACACTTGCACAGTGTCTCTATATTCACCCTGGGTCATGTCACCTGGGTCACCAACCCTGTTTGAGTTTAGTCAGAAGTTCCTCGTTCATCCATGCAGGCTTGCTGCTGCATTTGCTTGACTACGTGTGTGATGGATGGTTAAATCATTCTTGAGCTTGGAGGAGATGAACCTTGACAAGGTGTCCTGGACTCCTCCTCTTTTCAGGACCATATTCCCTGGGATTCTTCCAAGCAGGTCGCTAAAGAGATCAAAGTCTGCTATCCTGAAGTACAGTTTGTGATCTGTGATATTTGCCTTGTTCTCTCCTCTCAAGATCCTGCCACTATCTCATGGTCACTGCACTGACCCCAGTCTTCACATCCCTGACTAGTTCTTCTTTGTTTGAAAGTGTAAGCTCCAGCAGGAGGGCCCCTCCTCACTGGTTCCTCAGTCGCCTATGTCAGAAAGTTGTCACTGAGGCACTCCAGAA